CTATGCCACTATCACAATTATTTGATTACGAAAGTTTCCATCACCCTCAGTAGAAGCTTAGTACTCCTTCAACAATAATTGCCTATTTCTCCCTCACACTCGCCCCTAGTAACCACTAAAGACGGCGGTAAAATATTTCTGGAATGACAGGTGAACTGGGAGAGCAAAACAGAGCACAGAAACAGGCTTACGTGTGGGCAATTTCACATGAACGTGTCAAGTAAATTCAACACAACTGAAAACTTAAGAACATAAAGTTTAGTAGTTTTCACAGATGTCTCCCACTCAAAAAAACAAAATTCTCATCCTTACATGTCCTGATGAAAGTCAAGAACTTAAAAAGCAGTTATTTTTCTCTTTAAAAACTAGCTTTATTTAAAAGAATCTGAAGCAAAATAACACTATAGGAAACAAACCTAGAATACATATTGTTCAAGAAAGCCTGCTATATACATCATTGTTTACAACTAGTAGGTCTACATAGTGCTAAACAACATTCCTTATACAATGCACACGACATTTAACATTATCCCTGAAAATAATGACCAACAATAACACGGAGTGTTTTGACAGCAGAACTACTACTTGTCTTACTATTTAACTACAGAATAAACAGCCAAAATGTGAAGACAAATTAAACTCTTCCAATTTTAAATTCTAGCATGTTGTACAAAGAAGGGAAAAGGGGCAAATGGTAAGAGTTAAATAGCTCAAAAGGAAAAAGAATCAGTTTACCATTATTTATTATTATAAAGTAATTCAGAATGGAGAAGTATTTGATGTAACACTTGGAAGCCCTTACAGACTTCATTATCTATCAATCAGTTGCCAATTTTATTTCTCTGAAAAGTGGAACCTATATATTAACCCTATAAAGAAAATAAACAATTAGGGGTAATCTAGTATTTTCATTCTTTAATATTCTACAAAGCAATTCACAAATCATTTAATAGTAATACTTCTTTAAACAGCATGATTTAACTAGAAAGAGAACTAGTTCTAAACGATTATAAGTGAAAATACAAAATAAAAGTAAACCTTTAACATGTAAGTTTAAAATTTAACACAAAAAATAGATCTATGAAAATACTGAGCATAACATCAAATGCAGATAGATCATGACACAATATGGTACCCAGCATTAAAAAATATGTATTAAGAACCAAATCAGCTTTATTGCTATTATCAATCCTATCAATAGCCAAAAATGACATGCCCAAAATGTCACAGCCATGCCCAAAATGATGCTGTATATATATCATTAACACACAGAGACATTTTGTAACATACATCATTAATATAGTAAGGCCTCATTAATTCAGGATAATTTGATGTCTACAATTTTGAATATTTTAGAGATATGCAGTTTAAGCACTCACAAGTATTTCTTTTTCCTTTCAAGCATATAATTTCAAATATACAAACTTGCATTTGCCAAGGAACTACTTAATACAGTTCCTTTGGATATTTATTTTAACGTCTAAATTAGAATGTTCTTAAATTCATTTTCTATACTAAATGCCTTGAAAAGGCTTTAAACTTTTGCCCACAGATTAAGCATTTTTCTTTAAAACCTTGGCTGTACTATGATTGTTATTAACTAATGTTTTCATCAGCTAGTACAAAGAAAATACCATCTTAAGGAATAAAAATTCTAAATAAATTAGTAGAGTTTTGTGGTATCCCAATAATTTACTAAAGAGTAAAGATCAGTATCACTACTTATTTGGGGTATGATGGAGTGAATGGAATCTTTTAAAATCAAATTCCAAAGAAGCATTTATTGTATTATGAATGCATGAGTTGCTAACATGAAATTTTCCACTCTCTCCCATTTCAAAGACATCCGGCCATCAACTAATCCATAAATATTGATGTTTCACATACTTCATAGAGTAGCTTAAAACATACCAGCATAAGAAAAAATTCGTATTACATAGTAATTTCCTTTGCCATAGGAATAAATGTTGGACAAAGTCTGGAAACATTTTGTTCCAATTTGAATTACAGTAATTTTGCCACAGACCACAGCACTAGTGCATGTGTTACCTCAGACATGCTCTAAAAACAAACCAAAAAATTACTGCAAAATACATGTCACCAATGTGGAACACATTCAGATTTATATAAAAGTACTGAACTAATATCCCAAAAAGAGGTATATGTAAACAGTACATAAGGAAGAAATAGTTTTAATATGAAACAGTCATTTAAGTCACATACATCATGATAAGAAGCAGGACTTTCTTTTATAAATGGTATAATTTTAACTAACAACAACATCTATATTATCTATAGAACAAGAAAGGTACAGGAATTTAGAGTTAAGTTCCACAACAGCAAGTGGTGTTATTATTGATAAAGTACAACAAAGAAGCTTATCTGTTAGGTTTCATTAAAACTTTGAGGAATGCAGGCAGCCGCTTATCCATGGCACCTCGTTCCCGGTTGCCTTCCCTGGACCACTTATCCTGGGAGATGTGAATGCCATCATTAGCCTCCTAACTCCAGGCTTCTCTCCAAAATCTTGTCATTTTGCCACTTAGAATTGGAAAGTATAGATTTTACTTTCATATTGCTCTATTGGATAGATAGGGTAGAGAAGGTCAGGTTACCAAAATGTGGAAGAAAACTTCTGAGTTCAGATGTAGAGAAAAGGAAGTTGTTTAAAAAGTCACAACAATTTGAAAGAGATTTGGAAGTATTCTCAAGAGTGTCTATCAGTCAACTCCCTAAAAATATTGCTTCCCATATTATTGGGTCATATTGAAATATAGTCTTATTGTCTGAAACACTAGATTTTGAAGTCCATTCTAAATAGTCTTAAAAAAAAAGATGTTAAAGTCTATTCTATGCACCAATTTCATTTGCATCATAGCAAAGGTTGGTGTGGGGGGAGGCTAACTTTCTCTTAAAAACAGACCAACCACAACCATACAAAGATTGTAGTAAAGATAGGAAGGTTTAAGGTACTGTGTAGAGAACCAGGTGGGAGAAAACTAGTCTGTCTATATAGCATTCCACTGGAGTTCAGTGCAACCTGGAAACACATCAAGATCTAATGACCTTACTGAATCACATCAGGACCTGGAAAGGCCTCTGCTTCGCTCACTGCAGAAAATGGAAACGTCAGCATGGTACAATGGGTAACCTACAGCACGGTTTAAATAAGCTTTTAGGAGTTCCCTTAGGAATCTGATCATTTCATATAGAGTTCCAGACCACTATTTACAAATGAACTTTGAGAGCCTGGATCATTTTAATTAAATATTTTTAATTTAAAATTTCAAAGTAGCACAAATGTTCATGCATATGAAACCTTCACACATCAGCAAAAATGAAATCCAAAAACTCTTTAGAGCTCCCTTAAAATCATTTCTTATAGCCTCTTATTATTAAATACAAAGTTACTACAGCTTGTTGGACAGTATTTGTACTTAATGTGCTCAAGACAAGCATGTGCAAAAGAATAGTTGGTAAACGACTCTTGATAATGGTTTCAGTTGAGATGATTAAGAGTGGCAGATTTCGTGGTGACCTAACCATTAGCAAGGTTGCTTGTTTCCCTTGCTACCACTAGCAGAGTTGGGAGTCTAATCAAAGAAAATGTACACTTACATAGTGTTTATGAAGAATTAGCACTAGTACAAGAAAGTCTTCAGCTTTTATTTACAGATCTCTCTAATTTGGCTAAGAATCGCAGTACTTTAAAGAATTTCATATAAAAGAAAACCACTGACCACAAATCTAATGATAAGCATTCTATCTGAAGAACAGTTTTTCCCCCCAACAAGCTAAACTATCTTAGCGAGCCCTGTAGTATCTAGACGCCACTGGGCTAGGAAGGAACAAAGCAGTTCTGAGAAAGGAAGTGGGTATTAAAGCTTTCCCTCACAGTAACCTGGCCTTGGTAAGAAACCCTACCTGCTGACAACCAGGTGAAATTTCAGCAACATTTGACAATGTAGGAGAAAGTCCTAAGATTTTTCTACTCAATTTTTGCGGTTCTAATGCTTTGTATGTGGTGTACAAGAATTGTACCAAGCAGGAGTAATGTTCAGCAGAAGACCAGTCCACTCAGGGTGTTCCTTTCCCGCACAGCTTATTTTGGAGCATCCCGAGCAGCTCACCACTAGTCACAGGAAAACCATATCAATGTGTAGAATAGCTATTTGGGACCAAATTGGGCAAATGTGCATCAGGCCACTGTCTATCTCTTTTCCCACCAAACTGCATCTAGGTAATTTTGGCTATAATTCATTGTCAGAATCGACTACAGGTTTTTCTTTAGAATATTTACAGACTTTTCTTTGAGGAAGGTGCTTTGAGGGTTTAAACACTTGAATAAAAATTCACTTACTTGGAAGTCTAAAACCTACTTGGAAATGGAAAATGAAAGAACCACATTCCCGGTTAAGCAGCTTTAGTTTTGGAGTGTTCACGTCACTGTCACAAAAACAGCCTACCTGCGGAACTATAAGCAACAGTGGGCTTAAGAAACTGCATTAATTATTCTTTTTTTTTTTCTTCCATAATTGCTCTTACTGATGAACACAACTGAAGAATTATTAAGTTAAATGTTAACTCCTGAGAATACTACAAGGTCCTATTCATAATATCTACTTGTATTCAGTCATAAGAAATTATGACCTCATGCTACTAGAACTGTGCACATAGCATACAGTGCATCAATTCTTAAAAAAATCACTAGAATTCCAAGAGAAAACACAACTAGATCTTTAAATATTTAAAAAAATTATCTAACAAAAATAAAACATAAGCAAACAGGATCTTTAAATATACTACCGAACAACATCAAATGTCAGGAGTCGGTCAAATTTTGCATTTTAACTTACTTAAATATTGCATTTTAACTTACTTCAACTGATACAAGTTCACGCACAAGAGTACTGAGCATGTGGGGGGTTCAAAAAGTTCATGAAAAAATTGCGTTATCTATTAATACAATTTTTCCCATAAACTTTTGGAAGTGCCTTGTACTAAAGTTAATATAATTTCATTTCTTAAAATTGTAAATATCTGTATTTTAAAACTTTGAAAACATTTTGTACTGACTTTTGACCAGTGAAAGGTAAGCGGAGAAAAACCTTTACTAACTTGTACCATATGAAATTGCTGTTTTTATAAGTCAAAATTAAAATATGGCATTAAAAAAATAAGTATATAACATCATCAATAGCTTTTCCCCAATAGGATATTAACATTTATTTCATTTTTATAAAATCCATTTGTCAGAAAGAATAAATTCTTGAAATAATCCAGTTATTGCTTCTCATTTGGGTAATGTGCTGTTCCTTACCAAATGCTACAAATAATGAAAAATATATCCATTAGATTAAGGTCTGGTGAATGTGACAGAATTTCAAAGCCCAATTCAATGGACTTTTCAGTGGTGGCTTGTGACTTAGGAGGTCAAGTGCTGTACTATTTGTTTGTTTGTTACCACGTTTTAAAATCAAATTTTCATGCATGTTTTTAATTTCTCTATAACATGCTGTTGCTATCCCTATTTCATTCAGATTTTAGTAATAAACTGTCCCATTTGCAGACTACCAGGCTTACAGTCTTCATCACTTTTTTGGTTGCACTCATAATGTGGGTGGCATGCTTCGGAGCTTCAAGTTGAACCATGATATAAATTACTGCAAATGTAATTCAGTACTGTTGTTCACAGGCTATGATACACTCCAAACACTGGCTTTGCTATTTTGAATCTTTTTCTTTTCCTCCAGTTTTGAATCTAAGGCGCACATCTCAAATGGTCTCCATTTTTTATCATCTCTCAAGAAGGTACTTCTTTTCTTGCCCATTTTTTGTACTTCCCCAAGTTACAACAGACACTCCTAGCTGCAAGGCGTAGGTGCCAAGTCAGGGCTAGATACTTGGCTAGCATTCTGTGGAGGAACCTGACTGGAGTTTTCAGCAGGAGTTTGTCTAAAATGTTGATTAGGTATGTTAGTTAGCTTTCTATTTGGCTCTCCATTGATCTTTTCTTAAAGCTAATTTTGATGTCCTCTGAGACACATTTTTGGTTCCAAACAAAACTTTTCAAACCACTACTGAGTAGTTCTTTTATAAGCAAAGCCCTCTAAGGCTGAACTGATATTTCCACCTGCCTTATTTGCAATATATACCAGTTTAAAGTTATAAAAGAGTATTCACAATTTACTGAGAACACTGTTTATTTCTCTAGAAAACTAAAAACAACTGAATAACCCAAGATAATTTAAGAGCATCACCCTATTATAACTATAAACAGCACAACTGGAAATATACTTACATTAACTCTTACTATTGCGGTCAATTTCCAGCTGATTAAATATTAGCAATTTCATATGGTACAATCTTTGTTAATCAATAAATATGGTATTTCTCCTATATGTGAAGCTCTGTCTCATAGTCATACAAACAGATATCCTGCAAAACTGACTTGGAAAGTTACTAATTTCAAGCACCCTAGTCTAGGTTGGAAAACCTGGTATCATGTTCTAATGCTTCTTAAAGCACCCATTAAAAACACCCATGCTTCGCCCCATCTTATAGCTATGCACATTTTGTTCTAAAAACATGCTAAATATAGCCTTGAAAAGCTTTTTGAACTAATGGTTGAATGTGGCACTTTCAAAGTTCAGCAATGAAGTATTTCTTTCAATGATTCTAACTTTCAAAAGTTAAAACTTGCCTACATTTGCAATATCTCTTTTTGAAGCATCAAGAGGCTTTTGTTTATGATAAACAATAACAATGAACATTTATTTGTATGATTTCTTCTATAGCACTCCCACATACATTATTCTCAGCTAGCAAAAAGAGATCATTAAAAACTTGTATTAGTACTAACATGTAACATTAATAAAAACTAAAAGGTAAATAATCTTTTAGCGTGTGAATTTTAAAAATAATGTAAAACACTAAAATCCTGTTTCACTGAACCTTCGTGATACACCGGGGGAAAGCATTTTAGCTCACGCCTATGATTAAGTATCCGTGCCCACAGCAGGTGGGCCAAACGTTTCTCTAGTGCGCATTAACTGGACATCTTTGTCAGCCATACACGTATCACAGCCCCACACTGCTGATGCTTCTGCAGTTAGAAGGCCGTAGGCTGTTTCAGTCATTCCAGTGCAGATCCGATGAAACCATTTCTGACAGGATGCCTCACACAGAATGGCATCCTGATCATCATTCACTTCATTTGTACAGATCCCACAAGGATACACTGGGTCGGAAGATGAGTGGCCGTGACGGCTTGGGTGGAGAGAGGATTTATTGCTTTTTTCAGAGGTGGATGCATCTGCTGCGCTTCTAGGCTGTCGCGGCTTATTCTGTGTCCCATTTGCATGGGTGTTATTTGCAGCTTCCGTACTACTGGCACGACTGTTCTCTTGGTTGACAGCGTTGTTCCGGTTAACACTTTTTAATTCAATATTACTGGGGTTCACTGTGTCATCCATGTTTAAGTGAGGTGGATGAGCAGAGGAGTTTTGGTTGGTGTTTTTGGTTGTTCCTTGACTAAAGTCTTGTTTTGGGGGTGGCGCTTTTGCTTGACCAAAAGTGTTTGGGGGAGGAATAAAAGAATGATTGGGTTCTAAAGGAGAAGTAAAATTTGAATTATTTCCAGGGACAAAATTAGATGTCAAGTCAGGGTTAGATACTTGGCTAGCATTCTGTGGAGGAATCTGACTGAAGTTTTCCGCAGGATTTTGTCTAAAATGTTGATTAGGCATGTTGACAACATTCTGACCTAGTGCACTATTGTAAGATGGATTTCCAAAACTTGAATTATCATGTGGCCCAAAGTTAAAAGCATGAGGTCGATTAAAACCCATGCCCAAAGGATTCTGAGGAAATGGATGTGGCTGATTCCTGAGTGAGTAAGGAGCACAGTATGGGGAAGGCATTCTTGGGGGAACGTGAGGTGGCATTCTGAACGTGCTGTAGCCTCCAAAGCCAGGATAACCAGGGCCAAGGTAGGGATTTGACGAAGGTAGTGGCTTATAGGAAATCGTATTATAGTTGTCATCAAATGGATTAGCAGCCACTAAGTGGTCAGAGTTGGGATTGGGTGGTGGAGCATACTCAGACAATGGAGGAAAAGAAGGCCCCTGAAATGAGAATGCAAAGTAAAACACATGTTTTTGATCAAAGACAGCAGCATTTTACAAATCTCCTGCTAACACCTACAAAGCTGGTTTTAGTCAACTTTCTCTTGCGATGTTAGGAAAATTTGGTTCACTTGACCCTTTGAGTACAATTAATGTTTATACTTCATGATACTTAATGATAAAAAGATGTAAGTTTCTTTTAGAAATGGACATAAGACAGTCTTTTCTGAGCACAATTCTACTTTTTTTTTTAATATGGAACGCTTCACGAATTTGCGTATCATCCTTGCGCAGTGGCCATGCTAATATTCTCTGTATCGTTCCAATTTTAGTGTATGTGCTGCCGAAGTGAGCACCACAATCCTATTTTTTACTTAGGACCCCCACATTATTTAGTTTTCGAAAACAGGTTTCATTATCACAATTTTCATTTAAATTGCTTTCCTATAACTCTTAAAATCTTTCACTTAAAACCAAAATACACTATAACCAAAAATACCTTTTAGACCCTAGATGTCCATAAAATTAAATAACAATAAACAGCATCTAAAATTTGACTGTGGGGGAAAGTTATTGAAATATTCCCAAAGCACTAAGCTCTGGGTCTCAGACTAGAAAAATAAACCGCCAGTTTTAGTCAAGTGGTAAGTTTAACAGATGGAGGCCAAAATGAAAATTTTAAAAAGCAAGCAGCACACACATACTTATTCATAGACTTTATCCTAAAAAAAAATGCTTCAAACTTTGAAAGCCTATACCTAGAATTATTAAAACCAAAAGATAAACAAGGGCTGTCTCTTCCACAAATGTTTAATGAACTGCATAACGCTGAATTAGTGTAATAGTTTAACATTATTTCAGGCTAATCTTGCTTTCATAGATTTTAAAATATTTTAATAGAATTATAGGCACTTTTGATTTTGAAAAATTATCTCAAATTAGATTTCATATGAAACATTTTAATATCCCTGTCCACACCTCCCTCCATTATGTACTCAGGGCCTACAGTCTAACAATAGCTAGTGGTTTCAGAGTTCAAATAAATAAATAAATAATAGTCACTGATTACAGAATTCACTATTCGGTTCTGAATGAGGATAGGAAATGAGTAAATTTAAATTTATCTCATCAACCTGATCATACCAGTGAAGAAAAGCTGTCATAAAACATCAATTTACCTGTGTACTGGCCTTGCGTTTTTTCTTATCTGGACTTCCAAGTTGTACACCTGGTCCTCCTAACCCATCCAGTCCACTATCACCACCTAAAAAAGAAAAAGAAAACCCAGATAATATTCCTACTTATAAATAAAATCATTTACTATTTCTCAAGGCAAAACCTATTTCTAATTACCTGATATGTTTTCTGGTTTTGCTAGATAATAGTGTTAGGTTTTATTATCTTTGTTCTTCCTAAAGTCTTCCACATACTTTCCGCCAGAAGTACTCACCCATCCCATCTCTGCTCTCCTAGTATGTTTTATTGTACTTCAGTAAAAAGAAACTCTTCCTTCCGGTCCTGGACAACCCCGCCATTTGGTTCTCTGTCCCTGAGGCAATTTCCACTTTTCCACAGATACTCTAGACATAGTATGTCATTTTCGGATGGATAGGAGAGTGTGACAGGAGAGAGTGGCAAACCATAATTACTGATCTGTACATTGCTCTCTTATTTGGAGACCATGCCATACGAGTACATACAGAATGGTTTCATTCATTACTAACTGAATAGCGTGCCATAGTATGATTGTAACGTCATTTATTAAACTAGTCCTCTCCCTGTTGGTAGACAATAAGGTTGCTTCCAAACCTTTGCTATTGATTCAGTGAAGATGTCAATATTAATGTGTTCACATACATGTACATCTCACTTCTAGAACCAGAATTATGGCATTCAAGTATTTGTGTTTCAATTCTTCAAGATGTTGTCAAAATGTAACAATGTATATGAGGACTAGCTTGCTCAATAATGGTATATGAGCAAGCAAAAGCAAAAGCTTACTGCCAAAATAAGAGATTAAAAAGTAAAATTTAACAATATAAAATTTTCCATTACAATTATTATGGAAACTTCTAAACAAAAACAGAAGTAGAAGTTGAAAGAAGAACATTATTAACCCATACACCCAGTATCCAGCCCTACTAACCATAAATATTTGCCCAACCTTGTCCCTTCACTACTCCACCTATCCAGTTATCTTGTCATTTTATCTGTGAATATTTTAGCCAAGGACTTTTAAAAGACACAACCATAATACTTCTCATCGCTAAGAAAGTTAACAACAATTCCTTATTATTATCTAATAGGAATACAAGTAACTCATACTATTTGTTATGGTTTGTTCAGTTCAGGATCAAACTATGATCCACACATTTTAATGGATTAATGGGTCTTTTAATTAATAGATATCTCTACTATCACTCTATTTTTTCTTACAAGTTGATTAACTGAAAGAACCTGTTGGATCATTGTGCCAGCTATTAAGTCATGCATTTTCTTAGCTCCAAAACCACCCTCATTGATGTTGGGACTAAGACTTTTGCAAATTACATTTCTCCTTAGCTGGGCTCTTCCCACAGGAACAGCAGGATACTAGGAGGCTCCAGCAGATGAGATAGGAATGTTTGCTCCTCCATTTGCTTACTTTTCCTGTCACCCCAACAGTAGTGCTTCACTATTGAATTGGTATTGTTTCCAGTCTTAAGCTTCCCACCTCCTCCCAGAACTAGTTTCAACATGCCACCTCCTAGGCATGAGTACCCACTGGGCAATGCCCCAACCTCAGAGTCTGAGTGCAAGCTCAGAAGGATCCTTTCCCCAAGCTTCTATCCTTGTTCTCTGTTCCCACAGCGCTAAATGTGGCAGTTACTGTATCTCCACATTACCTCTTTGTACTCTTGCTGCTTTTCAGCTCTTCAACACAAGTTTAATGAACTCCTTATGCTAAATTGTTATAAACTAAGAGTATCATTTATGTTTTACTACCTGATAATTTTCTGATAGCATCTAGATTGTATTGATTCTACACCCTTAGCATAGTTTACATGGTCCTCATTTATTGTACACTGATAATTGGACCTAAAC